ATATCACATTATTCTTCTACCAGACATTGACTGTACAATACATAAAACCGCCTCACCACTGCTTTACTCATTATCTTCATCTCGTAAAGTTTCAGTACAGTACAACACTTACTTCACTCTTGAATGGATTCCGTGTAAAGATCCACGTTTTCGCACAGCACCCTTTACAAAGTCTCATGCCGTAATGCTCTCGAACATGCTCTGACAAAAACAGTAGAATACGCCAAGACTATGCGGTCCAGATGTTGACTGCATTCTACCCTCATGTAGACTTTCTCCACAACTCATTCCGCACTTGTTATTACTTAAACAGTATCCCCAACCCTACCGCATGCCATTTGCTATCCACATCCCACCACTCCTCACCCCCAAAAGTCAGCATGTTGCTTCTGTCCCGCTTGTCGCTTCTGTTCGCACTCCTTGCTTTCGCGCTTCCAGCTCCAGCCTTGGTGTCCCCATCGTGCTGGGCGAAATGGCTCTTGCGGCACTCCCGAAGCCTGGCTTCGTCGCCAAAAAGCCCTCTCTCACTCTCCAATACAGCCCCCCAACCTGAACGGTTGGTAAATATCGTGAAGTCTCTCCACAATGGCAATTTGCCGCCTGGAGCTCCTCCGACGATTCTTAGCGATGTTGTGCATGCCGCTCTTGTCAAGCATCATCACGTAAGTCGCTCTAAAGCCGCTTCCCATCCGAGTTTTCGATATTTGGACAAGGCATCCCTCTCACATTCCTTTGACCTGGACAGTCATCTGAAGGAGAGCAAGCTCGCGCACCACGACGCGAGAAAAGCAGCTCCGTTGACAACCATAAAAGGCTTAGGAGGCATCTCCCGCGGATACTTGTCAGTAACAAACCGTGCCGGGCTGACCGGTGATCTTTACAGAAGTACTTGGGATTGTGATGAAAAAAGGGTCTGCGTAAACTCGGATGCATTACGATGTCGTAATTCCCAGAAGTGCTGGTGCGTTCCTCATCTGATCAATCCGTGCTCTTCAAGTAGTGATTGTTCGGTCGACGGGGAAGCTTGTGTGGAGATAACCGATCAATTTCTGTTGTGTGCATCAGAAATAGCTAAGAATGAAGGTCTTAAAATTGTTTGATGATGTTTGCATAGACGCTCGAGCCCTCAATCACCTTCCCAAACATCAACTCGTCTTTAGCAAGCATGCTGTATCTCTTGTTCTGTGTGATGAGTATGACATCATACTCATCACAAAGAACACATCATACTCATAGTATGACATCACACTCATCACACAGAACGCGAGATACTGTTGACAGCCATTTGGCCCCTTGTGGCACCAGCTGTTGACATCAACAGCTGGTGCCACAAGGGGTCAAATGGCCGTGTTCCGCGGACAGGCAGTGAGAATGAGCAAATATTGCGACCTGGTGGGGTGTACGGAGGCGGTGATGGAGGTGAACAGTGCTCGTTTCAGCCGTGGGATGCGAATCGAATCTAAGACGGAAGGGCTGGAATACACAGTGTTTGCTGCTCGGTATAACACGCAAGTTGAGGAAAGCAAGATTAGACCGTTCGTTCGTTATGGGCTGTGATCATTTCTTCTCCTTTTCGTTGGAAGAAATCATACTGTATCGTTTCGAGCTGTTTTGATCAAACAGAATTTGAACAAACTCTGATGTTAGAGCATCTCCACCGCGCAGACAAATTGTGGCCATTTCTAAAATATGGCGACTCAGGCTTGAGTTTGGTCTCCACCGCGCAAATCTGCACACAAATCTGTTTCACAAATCGTATGATAAATAGGATTTGTGTCTTGACGGCACACATATTTTTTGATTTTGTGGTGCGTCACGTCACAAATCCCATTTTTTGGCAACACTCCTCTGCTTGAACGGGCTGATTTTTTGTTACTTTTAGACACCGAAACAGCAAGAACGCGGGAAGCCACGGGTACACCTGACCCGCCCAAAACGTCTGAGCATGCCAAATGCGCAGTGGACGGTCTATGCTCGCACTGCACATGCCCGCATCCACCCGCACGCAGACATTGTGCACGCGTTAACACTCATTTATTATGGGAGTCCGCGGGCGTGGATGGGCTAACTGAACTCGACCATCTGGCAAAGGCCTGGGTGGCGACGCGGCCGGGTACGCTTCGGGCGGCGAGGACAAGTCTGGGTGGAAGAGGTCAGCGTCGACGAACTGGACCTCGGCTTTGTGTCCTGCTGGTCGGGGTGGGGGGCGGCCTAGAAGTCGGGGCGCGGGAAGTCTGGGCGCGGATCGGGGGCGGGTGCGACGCAGTGCGCGGTGGAGACCGCGACGCGATTTGCGCAACGGCGATTTGTGGTACTTTCGCAAACGGAATGCGCAAAACGAATGCCCATGTGGGAGCCTGACAAGTGTCCAAATATAGAAACAATTTGCCCATGCGGTGGAGATGCTCTTAAGTGGGAAGAAAAAGCATCTCTGTTGTTTTGAGGCTCAGGTATTAAGACTAGAGATTTGCATCCCCTTGCAGAGCATGCATACCCAAAAGTTTTATGGGATACACGTGAAAGAAGAGTGGAAACGTAGGCGTAACCAAGTACTTTAGACGACTAGGCAGCCAGAGCAAGACACGAGGGGTTAGAACATAGAGCAGCTAAACACAACGATGATCCGTCTCCTCCTTTCGAGGTTCCGGGTGTTCCTGCACTTTTGTTCTCTTTCATTCTACCTTGTATTACGTGTCAACCCCTCCGTTTCATAGTAGCTCTTGAATGCAAACTGTTGACATCAGTCACCTCTCTTCGTTTGCTTTGCGTGCTGCACTGTGCACATGTCCATGGAGGACATCCGTCGTCTTCCAGCTCAGTGGCGGGGCTAGAGCTGACAGAATTCTACAGTACGAACCCTTCGATGAGATAGGAAGTATAGATCCGGACGCTCACTGGGACTTGCTTGGGAACAGTCCAATCTTCCACAGGCGACCAGTATTAATAGGGACTTTCAAACCGCGCGCTGGTTGACAAACGTCTCTGCACCTGTCGCACCCCCCAAAGTAGACTATAGTAGAGGGTGTGAGGGAAATCTGAATACCCGCATGGCGGCTCTTTTTTCTCTGTTCTTCACATTTTGTAAACGGTGTCGTGTTGTCCCTTTTTGAACCAGCGTAACTTTTTCATAGCTTTCACATCGTCCACGCATTGTTGGAGCATGGCAACCAATCCGTTCGCGAAAAATACACGACTCAGGTTCGTTCTATTAGCATTAGTGTTAGAGGGCCGCAGAAATAAATCACAGTCCGTACAGTAACGAACGGCTCGTCATACAAGGGGTGCCTCGTTAATGAATCCGACTTTAATGAATCCGTTCCAGTAATGAATCCGGGTCGGGGCTTGACACACCCTTTTATGACAAACCGTATGATAAGAGGTATGATAACGATATGCTTCAATAACAAGGTGAACTGACCACATTCTATTCACATCAAATACTTGTATGTTGAGGAGAGTTGATTTATTACTGCTTTTTAAAAAAATCGATGATACTTTTCTGCTTCTGTTGCGGAGCAGCAGCGTTTCTTTCCGCCGTCGCGACTCGCAAGACATCGACCAGCTTTCCTTGAATGATTTCACTGGCACCCCTCCACTTGGCCTCCTCCACATTATTCCGCATCCATTCCACGTTCGAACAAAGTGCCTTGTAAGACCTTTCCCTTAATAAATTTACTTCCTCTTCGGCTTTTTTCCTTTCCAAAACAGCGGCTTGGTGTGACCGCTAATGAATCCGTTCCAGTAATGAATCCACCTCATTGGCGCACACAGGGCGGATTCATTAACGAGGCACCACTGTACCCTGTTTTCTTCAACCTGCGTGTTGCACGGTGCGGCAAACATCGTACAGGGAGTGGGGGGTCGCGATATAGTGCCATCTTTGTTAGTGGCAGCTCCGATATAGTGCTACCCTTCCGCGGGTGGCACGAATTTTGAGCCAAAAACGAAGGGTCATTAGAGAGGCAGTTGGATGGACGTACTGCCCGAGAGCCGCTGCCACCGCGGAAATATATTATGTAGTTGCTAACTCGAATAGAGACTATGGCGGGAAACGGCAGGGTCGATGATGCAATTGGACATCTGCAAAAGTGTAGGCTGGCAAGTGTAGGCTGGCATTTATGGTTGCGAAAAAGGAGGAAGTCATAGCGACGGCTCGGGAGCTACTAATAACAGAAATGCTTGATTAGACTTGAGTCTGTAGTGAAGGTGAAGATGCAAAGTATGAGTGATGGCGTCCTGCGAGCGGTCTTTCTGAGCAGTGATGCAAGGAAGTGGCTGCAAAAAAGCCGTAAATCCCATTATCTTACAGTGCCTGGTTCGATATAGTGCCGTTTTCGGCCCACTGACACATGGTAGCACTATATCGCGACCCCCCCTGCCTACTCCAATTTCTCGTCGCACTGAATTTCGCACTGAATTGTGGGTTGAACACTGAATGTGGTGTACGCACTGAATTTCAGACGAGACAGAAGAGATTCTCAGTCTTGGGCACAACTGAGAATCTCTTCTGCAGAATACGGTTGTGCTTCCATATAATATATATATATAATATAATTTTTACGATCGGTAGGATTCGATGGTGGGGTCAGGTATTCAGTAGGCTGCGTGCACGCTTCGTCGGCGTGAGAGGCTGGTCGGTGTGCCTGTAGCCATGGGGAATAGGAGGGGTGCCGCCAGAGAAGGTTCTGCTTGCCTATGGAGCTTTCGGCGTGTGGAGTGTAGAGATGCTGATGTCGTGAGGGGTATTATACATGTGGGGTTGAGGGTAGCAGTATTCGGGCCTCTCCGTTCCTATTGCCATCTCTTCTTATGATCCGTGCATTGGAAACGTCGAGGTTTAGTCTTTACAAAAAGAGGCTCAAAAATTCTCGAATTTCCAGTGCCCAGATTTTTCCTCCCTTGCGGATTGAGGTCTCTATCAATGGAATAAACAACAATACACAAATCCTCTTCTCGTTGTCCGCCTTTCGCTGGCCAGTGCGCTCGTCAGTACGTATGCACCTTCTACTTCCACATTCTCCAAAGTGCCTTCAGCCCGTCATCTCGTTGTCGGAATGGGGAGCAAAACGGTGTTCGTATGAGCAATTTCGCAAAAGTAATAAGCTTCTGTGTGGAGTTGTACTCGAACTACAGTACCAAGGGTACTCACTTTCTCCTCCATATTTAACCCACCCCCGACCCCACACATCTGTGTCTGTTTATGTTCCACTAAAACCTGAAAACCAAACATGGTTGCTTCACCCCGTTTGTTGCTATTGTGCGCTCTTTTTGCTGTCGCGCTTGCCGCTCCAGCACCGGTGTCCATTTCTCGCCTCCCCAAACGGCTCTCGCATCACTCCCGGAGCACGGGTCCAACTCTGAAAAGCCGTCTCTCGCACGACAACACAACCTCCCAGCCCGCACGGGTGAGGAACCTCGTTCAATCCCAAAAACGTAACTTGTTGCCTGGATCTCCTACCTCCAGTCTCCAGATTTCTGCGTTTTCCGTTCATTTCACGCTTCGTGATGCCATCCGCAGCTTGGCGGCGGATCCCCGACTCAGTTTTCGAGAGTTCGACCAGTCGGCCCTATCACACTCTATTCTTCAGGACACTCGGGTTCAGGAGAGCAAGCTCGCGAAGTACGACAGGAGAAAAGCAGCTCCAGTGGCAACCATAAAAAGCTTAGGAGGCATCCCCCGTGATTCTTTGTCCGTAACAAACCGCGCCGGGCTGACTGGTGATCCTTGTACAAGTTCATTGGATTGTGATGGAATAAGGACTTGCTTGGAATTGGATTTTTCACAATGTCTTGATTCCCAGAGGTGCTTGTGCGTTCCTCTGGTACCCATTGAGTGCTCTTCAAGTAGTGATTGTTCGGTCGAAGGGGAAGTTTGTGTGGAGATCCCTGATGTAGCTCAGATGTGTGGATCAAAGGAAGCTGCTAAGAATAATGGTTTCAAAATTGTTGGTGACGTTTGCATAGACGCTCGAGCCCTCAATCATCTTCCCAAAGATCAACTCGTCTTTAGCAAGCATGCTGTATCTCGCGTTCTGTGTGATGAGTATGACAGTTGTGCCACAAGTGGTCATATGGTCGTGTTCCGCGGACAGGCAGTGAGAATGAGCAAATATTGCGACTTGGTGGGGTGTACGGAGGCGGTGATGGAGGTGAACAGTGCTCGTTTCAGCCGTGGGATGCGAATCGAATCTAAGACGGAAGGGCTGGAGTACACAGTGTTTGCTGCTCGGTATAACACGCAAGTTGAGGAAAGCATGATTAGACTGGCTGTCCGGTTCGGGTTGTGATTGAGAAGGCTTTGTTTTTGATACATGTTGTATCATTTCTGGAGAATTGCGTCTTTTGAACGTACTCATGCATCTCTGCATTAAAGTTATCAAGGCCGCTGTAACGGGTCACCCCGTCTGCGGGGCCGACTTTCCCTCTCTGCTTTCCAATTCCGTCGGACTGACGTGCACGGTTGCCGTCCAAACGAGAACCATGGTAACCCTTCGCCTACAGATCGAGATTGGCGTTGTCATGATTCCTATGTACAGCATGTACACCTGTAACTCGTACACACGTAACAAAGGTAGCAGCTGTGCGGGCAGCGCGGCGACCCTCGGCCGCCGCCGCCTTTTAAGATAGTATAGCTACGACCTGAAGACCGCGAACTCTTCGTTAGGAACGGCCCTCAGGGCCGTTGGGCCGTAGCAAACCGAGGCATCGTGTCTAGCACCAAAGGCGTACATGGCGTACCCGCGTACATGGCGTACCCGTACAGCAGGATGGCAACAATGTGACTACGCATCATCTGTAAGGTTCGGTAAATGGATATGAACTGTAAATCTCTGTGGAGAGTCCATCCCTTGCATTGTTGTAAACAGGATTGCATTGTTTCTTCTGTGTCCAAATCCATATCTCCGCCATTCACACTCCTGCTCACGCTGCTTTCCCATCTCCCACTGCATAACGACATAAACCACACGGCCAACGTGCAGCACCTTGCCATTCTTAACCTCACGCACTTTTCCTCCGCGTCCCCCTGTGGAATTATCCCCGCCCTCTATGTCTCTCACCCCCTTGCTATGCTACAACCTTCTCCTTTGTGGCCATTTCTGCCCCCAACCAAGCCACTCATCCCGCCCATGCCCGCCATGTCTCCTCCCTTGCCTCCAGTCGTGCCCGCACCGCACCTGTCGCAACCCGTGTTCCTCTCCGTGCCCCCCCTGCTACTATCCCTGCAGCAGCCATTGCCTGCACTTCGGCCCATGCCCCTTTTTCTGCGCCGCGCCCTGCGCCGCCTCGTTCTGCAACAGCAGATGCCAGCAAATCCTTCCGTGCGGCCATCGCTGTCCGTCCCTCTGCGGACACCCTTGTCCACCCGTCGAGTATTGCCAAACCTGCGCCCTCCCCAAACACCAAAACACCATTGTTGACATTACCACCCTCGTGCCCTACGGCGCGCACGAATTTCTCGATCAAAATCCTATCCTCCTTCTCCAATGCTCGCACTTTTTCACCGTCACCTCTATAGACGGTCTCTTTCAGGTGTCACGCGGTCTCGAGCACTCGAATATCTACCCGCCTTCCTGCCCTACGTGTAGACAGCCTATACGCGACCTGCCAAGATACCTTCCTTTGCAGAAGGTCAACGACCTTCGCTTGCTGGAACGCAAGCATCAACTTGACATGATGCACAAGTGCACTGAACTAGTGAAGAAAGCAGAGGAACTGGAAGCAATTTTCAAGGGTTCCCTCATGTGCGGCGTCGTCGGCTTGTTCTGTAGAAAACAGCGTGCCGTCGTTGTACGCGCAAGGGCTGCATATAGTCGCACTTTTCTCGATCTCCGCGCCATATTCAATAAGGCCACTTCCGGTCCCATGATCACCGTCAATAACTCACTTCCAAGCGTGGCAAAATTGACCTGGGCTGAGCAACGCACACATGTGTATCGTACACCCACACTACTGCACATCGCACGGTCATGCCTGCCGTTTGTTCGAGAGGTGTCAATTACAGACCTGGCATACAGTTTGATGCGCGATGTTCTGTTGGAAGCTATCCGTTTGACAGACGAAGACTCGTCGTACCGGTCGGGAGCCGTGGCGCGGCTCCTCTTGGTAGGCGGCTTTCTACACGAAACTAGACCCGTGGGAAGGAATTGGGTATATTGGTGGGAAGCGGAGGCGGAGGCATTGCAGTGTTGCGATTGGGTGATCAACGCAACATCAGCAGGCGTTGTTGGCTATCTCAAGTCGGAGGCACGCCGGCTTAAGGGAGCCATTGATAAGCGGGAAAGGATGCATGTGCAGGTAGCAGCGACGCGTGGCCCTCAAGCGAATGGGGTTTGGCATCGGTGTTTTCGAGGACACCAGTACTTGGTCAGCGGCTGCGGCAATGCAACGGAGGCCGGGTTATGCTTGGAGTGTGGGCTACGGATTGGAAGGAGGTTTGGAAGGAGGTAGAATTGCACGAAAGCACGAAAAACGAAGGAGAAGGTGTGTGAAAGTGCAAACGAATGGGTTTTGAATTTTCGTGAAACTCTAGCTAGCATACGCGGGATAAATGAACTTATGATTATTTTGATCCGAAGTGATCAAATCGACGTTATACTTTGCCATATCTTCATACGTGAGGGTCGCGCCGGGCGAGTCACTCTCCTTGAGCAGCCCCTTAGCCTCGCCCTCGACCAACCTACCCGGTCTAACGACGACCCACTGTACGTCCTCATGCCGCTTGAGGACGGCGAGGACCTGGTCATGGTCCCTAAGCGTAGGGCCTGCGCACCTACAGGCGACATAAAAAGCGCGCGCGACCTTCATCTTGAGCGGAAGCTTCTCCCCCGGGACGCACACGAGTGCGGAAGCCTGAAAGAGAAGCCTAGTGACCTGCTTCTCGTGCATGGCTGCGACGAGCGCGTCGACGAGTTTGGCGAGGCCGTCGCGGCGCGAGAGCGGGGCGCCGGCGGCGACGCAGACGGCGTACGTGGCGCCGTCCAGCGCGGCGACGGCGGCGGGCACGTCGTCGGC